ATAGACAAAAAGAAAGCAAATAAAGTAGAGTTTATACATATGTATATAAATAGTTAAAAGTAGAGATTTTATGTTTCTGGGTAGTAAAATACAGTTGGTCATATTAAACAGTAAATCAAGTTTTCTGAGGTCTGACTGCTGGACTTAAGTGGATTTGGTGAATCTGTGCAGTTGCATATCATCATAAAATGAAGCGTACTAAAACATCAGGTCTTTGCTGTAATTTAGCCAACAGAGCTGTGTAAAGACAACAGGGAAGTCCTAGACTGCCTGTGTTGGTAGGCATGTAAAGAGTCTGATACGGGACTGTAGTTTTCTTAGCTCACTGATGTATAAAAGATAAAGGAATCTAACAGGGTTATTTACTAGAGTAAGAATTCAAAGTGAATGCAAAGTAAATTCCACATTTAGGGCCAGAGTAGTCAAACTGAAAGCATAACTGAATTAAATAATTTTTTTCAGTTTTACTATTTTAACCTTACCAGACCACAAAAGTCACCCGGACCTCTTCATCTCAAGGATGTGGTTTGAGTGTAGTGGTCCTTTCCTTTAACCATTCCATGTACGACATTGCCAATTTGTAGAAAGAGTAATGTTTACATGGAAGAGTCAAATACACCTTTAGTGTCAGTTTTTCTGACAGCCACTAGAGGCACTGCCACCTCCAGAACTAAATTAAACATGATCCTGTAATCAAAAGCTGCTGGTAGCAGCATTTGATTGGAGGAGTGGGTCATTTGGCCACTCATCTGTATCTCCAACCCAATGCTTCTCTTTAAGAAGCATTGAATTCGAGGAGATCATGGAAGACGTAATTGGCATGCTGACCGTTTTGGTGGAACGGGCGGCTGTTGAGTAGGAGTCTCGTTGTTGGAAACAAGGTAAGTATTATTCTCTAACTTCAATTTTTTTAATAGCAATGGGGGTGGAGAAAGGTGGATGGAAAAAAGGAAACTTAAGATCCTGAAAAAATTATTGTTATTTCTGAAATTTGACATTCACTTTGAATTCTCGTATAAGTGAATGACCCTGTATAGAGGAAATTCTACATGGCAGAAACAATGCTTTCAAGCCATGATATACCACCTAAATATATTTAAAAGGAAGATGGTGACACAGTGTGCAAACTATTACAAATAGAAATGAGTACATTCTCCAAAACAAAGTCTCTATATTCATATATTTTTTATAGATACAAGTCATCAATAAGTTTTGTTGGGGAGTTTTGCATTTATGACGATACAGAAATTGTAAATTGTGGGTAATTCATTTTTTTTTATACCAATTAAGTGAAATAAACAGGTGAAAGAGAGCAGTTTTAACCAAGATCTGCAGCAGTTGGAGAGGCACATCAATAGGATGAGTTTCGCCTATGGTAACTCTTTGTGTGTTCTTTTGCAGAGCGGGCAGATTATGCTTTGAAATGGACAAATGGAAAAATTAGTGTCTGGCACACTATTGGACCATTTAACCAGCTCAGAGCATGCGTATAGGGAAGAGGAGAAAAGTGGGGAGCCAGAATAGGAGGTGGAACTAAAACAAAAAACTGAGCTGACTGGGAGAGCTGCAGACCAGAAGGGAGGGAGGTTCATCCATGCAGTGTGTGTGTGTGTGTGCCTGCTAGTGAGTGAGCTTGTGTGTCTGCTAGTAAATGAACTTGTGTGTGCCTTCTACTGAGTAAGCTTGTGTGTGTGTTTGTGTGTCTTCTAGTGAGTGAGCTTGTGTGTGTGCCTGCTAGTGAATGAACTTGTGTGTGTCTGTGCCTGCTGGTGAGTGAGCTTGTGTGTGTGTGTGTGTGTATGTGTGTTTGTGCCTGCTATTGAGTGAGCTTGTGTGCCTGCTAGTGAGTGAGCTTGTGTGTGTGTGTGTGTGCCTGCTAGTGAGTGAGTTTGTATGTGCATGTGTGCCTGCTAGTGAGTGAGCTTTTGTGTGTGTCTACTAGTGAGTAAGCGTGTATGTGTGTGTGTCAGTGAGCTTGTCTGTAGTGAGCATGTGTGTGTCAGTGGGCTTGTCTGTAGTAAGTTTGTGTGTGTGTCAGAGTTTGTCTGTACTAAATTTATGTGTATGTACCAGTCAGCTTGTCTGTGTGTGTCTGTGAGATTGACCTATTGGGCTGGCATAGATTTTTTTCCAGAGCTGCTTTGTTTTGCCAGTCTGGCCCTGCATGTAGTGTGCACTAACGACAAACATAAAATATGCACAGAATTGACATTAGGCAATCAGGAATTGCCAAAGTCACATGTGTGGGATGTAACTAGCCCCTAGCTCAACCCAATATCTCAGTATGTGCAGTATTTTAAGCAGAAATACTGCACATACTGACTCCTAGCACCATGACCACTTCCAAAAGCAGATGTGGTCATGGTAGTTGAACTAAAACATCGATGTAAAATAGATTAACGAATGTTATATGTCATCCCATTCAGAAGGGTTGCCGCTTTCCTGAGTAAAATATTAAACAAATTGAAAAAGAAATTCAAAAAATGGGTGAATGTCCCAGTCATGATTCAGATTTTTTAAATCATGCAATGAGATGTAACCTTGATGCTGCAATTTTCCCAATGTTAAACGATAAGTCCCAAAAGATAAACAATAGTCTGCAGAAACATGGGTAATCCTCAAATAAGTCACAGAGAAAAATGGAAATATGAAAACAAAAAAGTGCACTTTTATTAGTAGAAAAATATATGTAGACTCTAAGTACATGGCATCAAACTGTCATGGCAGCCTTCATAATTACTGCAGGTTGTACAGGTATGACATATCATACAAACTACATGGTGTGTTGAAGTGGCATGTTTTATTTTTAAGTATAAGCAGCAAACTTCGGCAGAAAATTAGAAGAAAAAAAAATTGAGAAAATATTTAGCGAAAAACAGTACTACCTGTAGCTGCCAGAAAGGGGAGAGACCACCAGGGCCGGACTGGGGATACAAAGCAGCCCTGGAAAAAAAATTTGTGCCAGCCCCATAAGTCACTGCGCCATATATTGTCGCGTGTAATATGTAAGGCTATGTCTTGCCAGGACAGATGATTGAGTAATATATATATATATATATATATATATATATATATATATATTGTTTTCTAATATAAAATATTGGTCCTTTCAGGGTAAAACGTTTAATTATACAGTAAGCATACGCACATGCAGACACAGGCAATTTCACTGACATTTCAGTGACACACACAAGCTCACTGATACACAGCCTCATAGACAAACAATCTTACTGATATACATCAGCTCATTGACATAAAAACACAAGCTCACTCACTAGCAGGCACACGCATGCAAGCAAGCTCACTCACTAGCAGACGCACACACACAGCTTAATGTGGTGGTACTGGTGTCTATAGCATGTCCCTACAGGCTTTTCAACGTAAACACTGACTTTTCAGACAAAAGGCAGTGTTTACATTGCTTCAAAGTGACACTGCTAGTGACAGTCACTCAGACGGTCACTAGAGGTGCTTCCTGTGTTAGTGCCCTCCCGCCCTTGCGCGCTGCTGAATGAGACTGGCGCCGGAATATGACGTCATATTCCGGCGCCGGTCTCATTCAGCTGCGTGCTGGGGAGCAGAGCCAGCGCAGCTCGCGCAGCTCCCTCAGCGGCCGCCAGGACAAGTCCGCCAGCGGCCGCCAAAAGACCTCCCCAGCGGCCAGGGGAGGGCTGGCAGCCTTAGGCCTGGGGGGCAAAACCAGTCAAGTAGACTGGTGCACCTGCCCAGGATCAGAGCCGGTGCAAGGATTTTTGCCGCCCTAGACAAAATAAAAATTTGCTGCCCCCACATGTCACATCACAATGCCCCACCCATATGATCTGCCATATGAACTAACGCCAGTGCTGCACACAGTGTGTGTTTACATTAAAAAAGCCTGCAGGGACCAGCTATAGACACCAGAACCACTTCATTAAGCTATAGTGTCCCTTTAATGTGAGGTACATTATAGATTAGTGTCACTAATAATATACTAGATTGCCTACTCACAAGCAGATGAGGATGATGATGGGCTGCAGTTTGGCTCCACTGGTCTGGTGTAGAACAGGATCTCTGGAGGCTGTTTGCAACTGTGGTCACAAAATTCAATGTTCTGGGAGAATTGGAAGCAGCTCAATTTTTGGGGGGCCCCATACACAGCTCAAGGTCTGGGCCCCAGGGCCTGACGGTGAGTATGCCCATAAGGCCCACTCATAAGTCCCACCCACCCATGAGTTCACTCACAGGGAGTGGAGTGTGCAGGGGATGTGTTATGTGTTATTGTAGAGGATCTAATATGTGTGCTTATGGTATGTAGTGTTTAGGGTTACCAGTTTGTGCAGGTGATGCAGTGTGTTTGTGTGTAGTGGAAGCAGTGTGTATTTGTGTATAAGGGATGTATTATGTGTTTCTGGTTGTGTGTAAGGGATGCATTGTGTGAAACTGTGTTTGTATGCATAAGGGATGCAAGGTGTGTGTCTGTATGTGTGTGCATGAGATGCATTGTGTTTCTGTGTGTATGTAAGAAAAGAAGTGTGTGTGTTTGCATGCGTGTGTATGGGTTTGCATTGTCTGTTTCTGTGTATGTGTGCAAAGGATGCATTGTCTTTGTGTGTAAGGGTTGCATTGTGTGTGTTTCTCTGTGTGTAAGGGAAGCATGTTGTGTTTCTGTGTATGTATAGGGATGCATTGTGTGTGTGTGCGCGCGTAGTGTGAAAGAGCTCCCTGTCTTGGCCCCTGTCCTATAGAGCTGCCCCTTCTTCTTATTCCCCCCCTCCCCTTCTTCTTATTCCCCCCCTCCCCTCTTCTTATTCCCTCCCCTCTTCTTATTCCCCCCCCTATCTTATTCCCCCCTCCCCTCTTCTTATTCCCCTCCCTCCCCTCTTCTTATTCCCCCCTC